AATATGACGTCGGACAGCGACAGCAACACCTGCCGAATTAGCTAGTTGGTGGTCTCCTGTGAGAACAGCAGGAGCATGATGGGAGTTGAGGCCTCGAAAACCTGCCCAAGAAGCCGCCGAATATACAGGGTCTCCTGCCAAAAGACGCGTCTCCTGGACAGCGACGAAGTCAGGAACCTCCCCCATGAGACGCATCCATCCCCAGACGTCCTGGAGCCCGTTCCAGTTGTTAGGGTTGGTCGTGAAAAATATCAAAACTTTGCATTTGCTTTTTTGGGGCCTTGGGACGCTGGCCTCTCCCAACACTCCTGCCTGCAGGATGAGGCCAAGGGTCGGGAGCAGCAGTAGCACCTGGCGGAGGCGCCCGGTGCCACGTCGGCCGAGGCACGGGGCCTGCAGCCGAGCTAGCTGAAGTCAACGTCCCCGCAGAGGAAGCCAACGTAGACGAAGCCGTCGCAGGAGCAGTAGTCGCACCCGTCGCAGAAGGCGAAACAGCAGACCCAGTCATTGCACCCGAAGCCGTCGCAGCTGAGGTGCCAGCCGAACTGGAGGACGAAGTAGGTGCTGCTGCTGATCGGCGTGGAGCACGACGTGATTGTCCAGGTAGCGGACCAAAAGGTGGTGCTGGCCCCTGACGGTGATGGCTTGCGATCCAACTCCTCAAGGATTCATATTCATAGTTGCGCATACCAGCGGCAGCTAGCTGTTGATTGCGATTTAGCTTGCGAAACCAGCGAAGGAAACCCTGACGACTACGCACGCCATTATGCCAAGCACGAACACATATCTCATGCGCCAGTTGCCGAGGCGTCTGCACACGCGCTCGCAAAGTATGCGCAAACCTCGGATGAGCAAGGTCTTGCGCCAAAAACGCCTCACACCAATCATGAGATGCTGCCTCATCATCTGGCTGCAGTCCGTGATACGGGTTGTTGACCCATCGCTGGGCCCAGGCTCTGGCCTGTCGTTCCAAGCAGGGCGCAGGCACAATAGCGCGAGGCCCAGCTGCAGCCATGCGCGAATCTGGCAAAACTGCCAACCCGCCTCCCCCATGCGCTGTTTCCCTCGCCTCATGTGGAGAGGGTGCCCCAGGGGAAGGGCAGGCTGGTGGCGACGCATAGCGTTCTGACGCCCAAGTCGAAGACCCAGTAGACGAGGCGGTAGGTCCACTAGTGGCAATCGTCCAGTACGTGGAGGACCCAGCACCGCAAGTACCCGAGCTGCTCGCGGCAATCCTCGCCGTCGTGGGTGGACCAGTCGTCGCAGATGTCCCAGCAGAAGCCGTAATCTGTGTCGCTCGTGTCTCCAGCCCAGGGGAGGCACATCCCTGGCCAGCTGGAGGTCTGGTAGCACCTCTAAGATGGACATGTGGCGACTTCTGCTGGAAACCACGCACCGAACCTCCAGGGGGACTCGCGCCGCGGGGCCGCCACGGGGTCATCCCCTTCTCAGGGAAGGTGGGGCCAGTGAGTGCGCCGCACTGCGTAGATGCTGATCCACTCCTGGTACTGCAAGTTGTAGATCGCGTTGAGGAACCAAAGGTAGTGGATGGGGAAGAGGGGCGTGTCCAGGGCAGCCAGGGGTTGTAGTCGCAGGTGACTCTGGTCTGCATCCCACCAAGACACTCTTCATAAGGTAGAGAAAGACAGGCATCATTATTCCAGTTGGTATCCCCGACGCAGAAGTGACCTGCATGCCCAGCTGAAACGTGATGATCTGGAAGGTATAGATCAGCATCCAAGGTTGCACTCGACGGAGTAGCAAGCAAAACCGAATGCTGGTAGTCGAAGTCATAGTTCATGTTACCCCTGCTGTGGAGGGCCTGTAGCGACGCACCCAGCAGCCAGCTTGGCCTTCGCATCATTGACGATCGATGTAGAACGGCGTGCTTGCGCGCCATTGGCCTTCTGACTGGGGGCTGCTTCAGCTTCTGGGGCTGCAGGAGCACCAGGCGTAGAAGGCGCAGCCTTGGAGTCAGTTGAGGTACCTGTCGGCTGACTGTCAGCAGCCTCCGTAGCCGCCTTAGCCTCGTAACCATTAGCTGCTGCATCACCTGGCCCAGGTTCCTCTTGCTGCTCGCACCGTCGCTTCTTAGCTGCCACTCGCTGTTTAGCCAAGGAGCGCTCTTGCTTGAGCTCATCAGCTTTGGCCTTGACCTGCCCGAAATAGACGGTAGCCAGTTCCCGAAACTTCTCCTGAAGGGCCTCTTTCCTCTTCTGAGCCTCCGCCAGGTCCTCGGGCGATATCAATTCCCCCAGCTCATCAAGTCCAACTAAGCCTCCGTCGTCGAGGTCCAGGGGCTTACCATCCAGGATTGCGGCCAAGTCGAGACGAGGGGCAGCAGGAGCGTCGGCGCTGTCAGGCAGTTTCGTGTCCACCGTCTTTGCAAGCTTCTGGACCGCCTGCTTGTAGATGCTGCGGGCATATCCCACTGCTTCCGAACAGGACTCAACTTGGTCCTGGGCCGTGACGAATTGTTCTTCCAGCTTCTCGCAGTAGGTGATGGCCCTGCGGAGGGCTGCCTCCGCTTGCTCCACCTTCTGCTTCGCCTGGCCGACGCTGATGTTCTCAGTGGCCTTCTGCTGATTGAGCAAGTCCAGCTTCGACTGATACTTGGCTGCCATCTCCGCGCCACCATTGGCGCGGAGGAGCTGGATGAGGTCTGCCAATCGCGCCTGCTCCTGCGATTCACCATTGGGGCCTGGCCATGCCGATTCTTCCAAACAGAAACGTTGGGGCGAAGCAGTTCCTGGCCGCGCGCCGTCAGCGAAGGATACCGATGGGACTCGCCGTGCAGCGCCAGGCCCTGGGGAAAACACTGCTGAGGCATCCACCAATTGTCCATCGCGTCGTATCCAGGGCACGCGTCGCGGCGCTTGACCACGATCAGCAGCAGGCTCAGGAGAACGACCAGGCCCACGCGGACGTTGAAGCACGGCATCATCGGCAGCGGGCATCGGCGCCTTGCAGTGTTTGCACCATTTCCACCAACGCTTGTTGCGTCCACAACCGCATTGCTCACACTTGGTCGCGGACGGACTCGAGAAACGGTGGGCAGCCGCCGCGCGCACTGGTGTGACAGAGCGCTGCATGGCTGCGGGCGGGGCAAACTGAAGTGCACGTCTGACGGCGCCGTGCTGGACAACGGTCGCGGATGCCCTACGGGGGGGGGATGCTGCGCAGGCCCGCTGTAGTCGACGATGACAACGACGACGACGACGAAGACAACGACGTCAAGGACGAAAAATAATAAGACGACGACGACGACGACGACGACGACGACGACGACGACGACGACGGCGGCGGCGGCGGCGGCGACGACGACGACGACGACGACGACGACGACGCCTGAGAGGGGGAACGAAAATTCGCCTCGGACGCGTACGACCCTTATAACAACATCTATACGAAAAGCAGTCATTTTGAGATTGTCATGCAAGGGGGTACACGATCCCCTCGGCGGCGCCAGCGATGACCCCCTGGCGCGCGTGATTAAAAAAATGATTCGCGCCCCGCGGGGTGTATTCATCAGCTCCGGGGGGGGGCCTTTTGTTAACCACAAGCTGATATAACAGGGGGCGGGGCAAAACGCCTATGCGAAGACCACCGCCACCATTATTATCATCATCATAGTCGTCATCTTCTTCGTCGTAATTATCGGTACCATCTTCATCAGCAGCAGCAGCTGCCTCTTTCTTATCAGCACCAGCAGCATTAACCGCATGCCGATGATAATAAAGGGACCCCCCTTCAGTGTTTAGAGTGGATTATCGTCGCCCTATACAAAATTCAAATTGGGCGGCGAGCGCTGAGGCCGAACTTCATTATCACCTCGAAACGCTATGTTGAGATAGCAACATCAAGCGATGTTGCTATCCCCGCGCGCGCCTGAACTTTTTTATCTCTGGGGTTGATTATCCATGGAAAGGGGAGCACATGAGCTACCCTACATGAGCACTTACAAAAAACAACTTTCATAAAGCGCTTGTAAATTAAAATTGATAGATTTGGAACTTTCCATTGTTCCGTTCTTCTTCTCTTCTTCTTCTTCTCTTCTTCTTCTCTTCTTATTATTATTATACTTTCCTCTTCTTCTTTTATATTTCAATATGTCCTCACGCTCGCCTGAACTTTTTCATCCCTGGGGTTGATTATCCATGGAAAATGAAGCACATGAGCTACCCTACACGAGCATTTTTAAAAATAAAAAATCATAAAGCGCTTGTAAATTAAAACTGATAGATTTGGAACTTTGGAATTTTCCTTTCTTCGTCCTCTTCTTATTCTCCTCTTCTTCTTTCTTATTATGATTTTACTGTATTATTCTTCTTTTGTATGTCTCTCTGTCCCCACGCTCGCCTGAACTTTTTTATCTCTGGGGTTGATTATCCATGGAAATTGAGGCACATGAGCTACCCTACACGAGCACTTACAAAAAACAATTTTCATAAAGCGCTTGAAAATAAAATCTAAAAGATTTGAAACTCGATATGTTTTCTTCTCTTCGTCCTTCTCCTCCTCCTATCATTTCTTTTATGTTATTATGTATTCCTTTTATTTTTCTTTTTTATATATAGCTTCCTCCATTCCAGCGAGATAAGCCATTGTTGAGGATATTTCTATGAAAACTAAACGCCAAGGATGTCTCAAAACGTGCTCGGCTTGGTCTCCTCTTGATCATCTCTTACTTCGAGATTATGCTGAGGTCTGCTGGGCTACTTTTACTATCTCTCCCTGAACCCCGAGCTTTATGATCCCCTAGTGTTTATTCTCACGGGCATGAGGTTATCATACCAGACTCCTCAGCAGATCGCCACACTCACAAGCACATTCGCCGTCATCATCATCATAAACCAACTCCTCCTCCTCCTGCTCCTGCTCCTCCTCCTCCTCCTCCTCCTCCTCCTCCTCCTCATGCACTGTCATCATCGCCTCCCCTGCTTCTCATCCTCCTGCCCACATCATCCCTCCTGCTCCTCCTCCTCAGAAAAGCGCCGCGCCTCGTCCTCGTCGCTCTCGGCCCCGCCCTCGGTGGCGTTCGCCCGGCCAGGCCCTCCAGACCCGCTCGGCCCCGCCGCGAGCGCCTGGGGGGAGCGGAGGTGCGGCAAGAGCCGGGGAGGCGCAAGCCTCGAACAGTTCGGGGGCGGCCACGGGGAGGGCGTCCAAGAGGGGGATCAGCGAATCACGGCCCGGGGGGCACTCTCGCGGACGAGAGGGGGCCAGGGACCGCGCCGAGAGAAGAAGAGGGGGCCACGACATCGGGGGAGATCTCATGGCGCCGGCCATGATATCCGCACACCCAGGCCTCAGCCCCCTCGTGGCCACGCCCGAGGTGCGACGGACTCGAACTCTCTCGTCGGGAGCGTCAGAAAACTGCGGGGACCCAAGAAGAAATTTGCCACGAGCTCCCGCTGCAATCATCTCACGAACACTGGACCGACAAGGCTCACGCAGGGACCCTTCAAGAGGCGGCGGCAGGCCCAAGCTTTGGTAGACGCACGACTGAAGTTTCCCAACAAAGGTGCCCCTGGCCAAAGGTGCTCCCAGGATTTCAAGGGAGGCCTCGAGTCTCTGGGGTCGTCGGGGTATTGGCAGGGGTGGATGCCGAGTACCGCTTCTCGCACTATCGTACTGGCATGCCGCAGGTAGGTTCATGAGGCGTCTCTTATGGTAGTGGTCTCCCGCTTGCAGTCGGTCGTCGTTGTCGCTGCGAGGGTTGCAAGCGTCCAGAGCGCCCCTGACGAGGGCCAGTCGGCGGCGAGCCAAAGCCAAGGGGACGGTGAGAAGGGTGGGCCTTCTCAGAAGGCTCGGAAATCCCCCTGCCTTCTAAGAAAGTTGCTGAGCCTTCCCGGAAGAAACGAAGACAAAAAACCTTTCAGAAGGCACGAGGGCTTCTGAGAAGACCCGCCGCCTTCTGAGAGGGACATATATCACACTTGAGCCGAGCATCGTTGCCACTGCAGCTCGTGATTGCACACGAGTTGCATGAGTGACTGCAGGTGTGCAGGTACGCATGAATGCATCCTTGCGTGATCGTGTCGCGGACCGTAGCCGCCGAAGCTCGAACCTAGGAGTCGCAAGACACGTCCTAGAGCCAGGCAGAACAATTGCGCAATCACAGCTCGAGAGCTCTCCGGCATCATCGTGCCCCCCCCTCGCTCGCCGCCGACCAGGGGACCGCAGGGGGGCCCAGGGACGGGGAGCAGAAAAAGAAAAAGGCAGCGGCACCACAGCACCGTCGCGAGGGAGCCGGGAGGCGGTCCTCTTCCCTCAGGTGGCGTGGCCCCCCTCTGCTCTGCGGCGACCCGTCGGCGACGCGCCCGCTGCTGCGCGGCGACGACGCCGCAGCGGCCAGCGCGCGCCGAGGTGGAGGCGGCGGGGAGAGGAGGAGGAGGAGGAGGAGGAGGAGGAGGAGGAGGAGGAGGAGGAGGAGGAGGAGGAGCCCAGGGGCCGGCCTCCCGGATGCGCAGAGGCGCTCCTCCTCGGCCTGCCCGCCCTCCCCCGAAGGGCGCGGCCGCGCCTCGAGGGCCACGGGGTCCATGCCGCCCGCGCCGGCGCCGAGCGCCTGCGCGGCGGCGCGCCGCGCGCTCCGCGTTAAGCCCGCCGCCGGGCCAGGCGGATCCCCACCAAGTCCCCATCTCCATCTCCATCCCCATCTCCATCCCCTTCGAGGCCCCCACCAAGTTGACCCCGGAGCTGGGGATGTACTCCTCGAGGCCCGAAGAGGACGACCTGAATCCCCATCTAGGGGGGTAGATCGGCCAGTGGGCCCAGGCCAGGCCTCTGGTCCTCCGCCGAGGCGGGACGAGGATCAAATCGGGTGAGGATACACTCAACCCGTATAGTCAGGATGCGCGATAAGGATGCAAGGGCCTTGGACGCCCATTTCGAAGCTTCTCGAGCGGGGCGCGGCCCACGAAAGTCGCTGGGGATGAACCGAGGAGGCAAGGATGCAAGGGCACCCTTGGGAAAGTTGCCCATCCTTACTATGCGGGTTGACTGTACATCGAGTCTCTGAGATCCAGCGGCTCTGGAGGACGCCTCGGGCGCCGCGGCCCTCTAATTCTCAGAGCGCTCCGGAACGCTCTGAAAGCGTTCCAGAACGCTCTGGAACCAATTGTTCCTCGTTCTAGCCCCGTCCGAGGCGGATCGGATCGCGAAGTCGGATCGGATCGCGAAATCGGATCGGATCGCGAAGTCGGATCGCGAAGTCGGATCGGATCGGAAAGTCATCGGATGGTCGACGAACTGTCCCGAATCGAGCTGAGATCGGATCGCCGCGCCCAGCTCTGGCTGGGCCCTGGCCACATGCTGGGCTGATCGGACCGAACCGAAGTGGAATCGCGGCCCAAACCAGCGAACCGAATCGCATCGACTCGAATCGCAGGCGGCCCTGCAGGGCGAGGCCATGGGCATCGGCCTGGGCAACATCAAGGCCAAATACCCCAACATCCGACGGCATGTGTTTGTTTAGCTTGCGGTTGTTCCTCGCTTTCGGCTCTCAGGGGGGTCCTTGAGGGCCCTGGGGCCATCAGAACGGCATGCGGGGATAAGAAGTAGCCCGGCAGCGATCAGGACCTCTGGAGCCGCAGATTGAATATCAGGCTAACTCCTCCCTGCCGCACTTCGAGGCCAGTTTTCAAGGCGGGCTGAGCGTTTCGCCTGAGACTTCCCCACAATCTATGATTCTGAAGCTTTAGAAGTGACAACAGTTTCACAGATGGAGGGCGGGTGGTTTTCAAAATGTAACTCTCGCCTTAGCGCCGCGCACATTCATTTTACAATTTTGCAAGAATTTCACGGAATGAGGGCGGGTGGTCTTGAACATGTGGATCTCGCCTGAGCGCCGCGCACATTCGTTTTTAACATTTGCAAGAGCTTAACGGATTGAGGGCGGGTCGCTTTCAAAATGTGGCTCTCGCCTTAGCGCCGCGCACATTCGTTTTCAACCTTTGCAAGGGCTTAACGGATTGAGGACGGGTGGTGTTCAACATGTGGCCTGTGGCTCTCGCCTTAGCGCCGCGCACATTCGTTTTCAAAATTTGCAAGAGCTTAACGGATTGAGGGCGGGTCGCTTTCAAAATGTGGTTCTCGCCTTAGCGCCGCGCACATTCGTGTCAAACATTTGCAAGAGCTTCACGGATTAAGGGCGGTTCCTTTTCAAAATGTGGCTCTCGCCGTAGCGCCGCGCACATTATTTCTCAAAAGTTGCAAGAGCTTCACGGATTGAGGGCGGGTCGTTTTCAAAATGTGGCTCTCGCCTTAGCGCCGCGCATGTTCGCTTCAAAAATTGCAGAATTCCACTCATTCCCATAATCACCGTACCAGAACTGTTTTTTAGAAGGATTCAGGATTACGCGGGTGCAGCGATTCTATTGGTTCGCTGTTGAATTTCCAAAAATGGCGCTCTGGCACGATTCCGGATCGTCAAGACGCAGCAGTCAGGTTGATACGTGGCGTTGAAATCCCGAGAATCATGTTTTGGCATGCTTCAGGGTATTCAAACGGTTGTCTTCCAACGAGGCAATTCCCTCAATGGGAATGAATCGTTGTGGGGGCATGTGAAGAGGGAGCTTGGAGGGAGGTTTAACTCGAACATCGTTGATGACTCTTGATTTTACACTGGTCCTCCTCCTCCTCCTCCTCCTCCGCCCCCTCCCCTCCTCGTCCTCCACCTCCTCCACACTCTCGGCTGATTCGCGCGTGGTCGGACTCGATGGACCCGTGTGGGAGGCCCAGTCGGTGCAGCGCGCGCAGTGTCATATGATGCATGATGGGCTCCTGCGGAGGCTTTCTGCTGCATCCAGCACTCAGCGCACGGCGACCTCTTGTGGCGTATCCCGCGTGCCGAGGATCCTGTTATCGACCCCCACCATGAGTGCCGCCGCTTTGAGTGAAGACCTGAATCTGATAAGCTCAGTCTCGAAAAGGCAGTGGTCTCGGGAGGCCAGCGGCCGCGGGTTACGATGGCTGACAGCGGCTACGATGTTCCTCGGCTTTGTCCTCGGTGATCCTCGGTGTGGGCCAAGGAAGAGACGACTCTCTACCACAGAGTTTGACAAATCGAACCATGTGGAATCCCAGGTGGCCGCTCAGTTTGAACAATCCCTATCTGTCCGGTTGCACGGAGGTTTTCCTGTCGAATGGACCCACCACCCTGAGGCCACTCAATTTCCCTGCGAATTGGTGGGTAAAAATACGGCCCAATATCTTTTGATTCCCTCGAGGCGCATCCGGGTGTTGGCAAAGTCGTTACGTTCGAGGATGGCTCGAGGGGCCGTGTACAGTCGGGGCGTTGATCTAAGGAACCCTAAATAAGGAACGATGCCCCTTCTTTCCATGGGTTAAACTTCGATTTCCCGTCGAAAACATAAGGAAAACCTGAGGCAAGCTGTGAAACACTTAAGGAACACGGAGCCCCTCCCCAACGATAAGGGTTCCTTCCTCAGCGACCCGACTGTAGCGCTGATCGACGGCGTCGCCCGGTGTGGAGGCGCAGTGGCTGCGCTACAGTCGAGCGAGCATGGCTAGAGGGTCCTGGCAGCTGGCCCGCACGCCGCTCCCGGGACGACGCCGAGTGGTCCCGCGGACAGAACGTTCGGCTTCTGGCGTGGCTTCTGGCGTGGCCTCCATGACCATCAACCCCTGCTGCGTGCCTGGTTGTCGGGCCCCGCGAGGCGGCGGCGAGGCTCCGGTCAGGACCCGTGGAGCCGCACTCGTGTCGAGTGGGGTGCGCGGTCTCGGGAGTACACTCGGATCCAGCGGATCCCGTCTCACGCAGAAAATGGTGAGCATCAGGTCGAGCTGTACCACGTTTGAAATTCAAGGCACCGCCTCGGCTGACGAGGGAGCGGGGACGGCGGCGGGTGAGGAGGCTGCGGGGTGTCTGGTCGGGTCTGTGGACACGGACCGATAGGGTGGCAGCGGAGTGCTCGTCAGAGCGTGTGCACTGCATGCCCTGCGGTTCCCCGTGACCGCCGACCCCTGGAGCGGGGAGCGGCTGCTCAAGGGCAGGCAGCCTCTGCTCCCCGCCCACGTGCGCGCTCGTTCTTCCTTTTCTTTTGTGTTGGTGTTGTTTGTTTGTTTCTCTCTCTCTCTCTCTCTCTCGCACAATATGTCCTCTCACCGTTTCAAAGGCGTCGCTTCGAAGTTCAAATGCGAGGCGTGTTCTATCTCAGTTCCTGCGTCCAGAATCCTATTCTGCAAATTCGGACCCGCGATCTTGCCTCCGTCCTGGTCGCGAGATCGGCTCCCAAGGGTTGTGGCAGGCAAGTTCATGCATAACCCTGAAAGGTTTTTAGACCCCCCCAATGAGCTGGTAACTGATTATTATTTCGGCATACGCTGTTCCCACACCATCCAAGCCTGATATCGTAATCGCTTGCCTTTGATATTCGGGTTGTGGCAAGTTGGCAACCCTTGATGGCAGGCACCTCGAGGCAAAAGGTGAAGCAAACACTCGCGAAGGCAGAGGGGATGTAACTCGTATCAATCAAAGGCTCTGCCCGATGCGGGAAGGTGGGCCAGCGCAATTGCACGCCGCGTTGGTTCGTCGCGGTTTCGGGTGAGCCCTCTCTCGTTGCAGCACAACTCCCGCGCATAACAACACAGTGCCAACTAGTTTCCCCTCCTCCTCCTCCTCCACCCTGTCCTCCTTCTCATCCTCCTCCCCTTCCTCCTCCAGGTGGCCCAGGTCAGGCGCCAGCGCGAGCGCCACCCCCGAAGAGGCCACACACCCACTTCCTCCCGCTGGGCGCATACCCCGCCCCCCCCATGGATTGCGCGGGTCTGGAGGCGGCGGCGCCGCGATGGCAACAAGTCTGTTACGAATAGTCCTGTACAACCCGCTGTGCGTGCGAACACCCACTCCATGCTGTCAGACATCGCGCACGAGTTGGGCACCAAGGATTTGATAGGATTGGTTGGAACTCAGCTCGAAAGCAGAGGAGATGCTGTGGAGGATACGCGCACGGTGAGCAGATATTATACGATTGTGGCGGGCTACTCTTATGGCCAGTTTACCACTAGAAGTTGTGGGGTACATTTGTTATTGAGGCGGACGAGCTTCCCCGGACGCTGTGTCAAACGTATGTTCGACGTGCTGAAGAGTATCAGAGGACGAACCCTTGGAGTACTGCTGGAGTCTCAAGGGCTGAAGTTTGGCATCATCCTTGCATACGTTCCTCCCAGAGACACCTCGCCAGGCGGACGGCCTCACTATGACCGAGGCACTAAGTACTTACTCAAATGAATTTCTGAATCGATGGCTGTGTTACGAGAGCGGGGGGGGAAATACCCATCATCCTGACGGATCGGAACGGAGCACTGCCGCACAGACCGCTCGACAAAGCTGCGGGCACACGTGGGACAGGCAAACTAACACCTTCGTCGGCGAGACTCAGACCCTACTTGCACGGGTGGGAGATGACCAGCGCCTCGACTAACTACAAGGGACCCTCGACGTACGTCGGCGAAAAGGACAGCTCGTACATAGATCACGTGATCATACCACAGGAGATGCCGAAGACTGTAGAGCGCGTAGATGTCTTGTCTAACTCAGCCAGC